ATTATGATGCTACAGAGATGGCGAGACTTGGCAGCAACACAACGAGATACATCAGCAAGACAGATGAAGATCACTAGTTTTTTTCGTTCACCCTAAACCATTATTTCTACAATATCCAATGTAAGTCAATGTTGAACTGATTCTAGTTTTATTTTAATCTTGTTAATATTATTATATACATAAAGTATACAGTACATAATTACACTTTTATTGCACTTAAATAAAGTCCATTGCAATGTTATTACAATAGCCCCAAACTTGTGTTTCATTTTCTACCCTCCCTATTATCCGCCATTCCAGCTTATCCGCCCTTCCGTCGGCCCGTTTATGGCGGATAACCGAGACTCTACTGTATGTAAAACTGAAACATGAAACTTTGACCATTTATATGTTTTTGTAGGAAATATATCTCTCCAGTTATAGGCGAAATCATGGGCACAAAAATCAAATTTTTCGATTGTTGTCAAATTTTGTTACATACATAATTGAGCATAAGGTTTGCGACAGGCGCATATCGTGATTACTGATACAAGGTACATCCTGAAGTGATTTCAGCAAAAAAATAGATTCCTATGGAAAATGTCGATTTAAGACAGATCCCGCCGGGACATTGTTGTGTCAGTATACGTTTATTATTCACAAAGTTTTTAATTTACTCAATAATCCTCGTGGCACTCTCTGCATATGTATGAAGTTCCAATTTTGGTGCAGATTTAAGTTACTAACCTATATGAAGTATACTTATATTTTTTAAAGACCAGGAAGTTTCTATTTCGACAAGCCCATTGTTTAAGATTTTTCTGTAAATCCCATACCACAATAGACTATGTCCTAATAAGAGGGAAAAACTCTTTATATTTATAGCCCAGCATGCAAAATTTAATGAGAAAAAATTTTCAATTTGAAAATCAAAATTTGAGAAAAACAATGGGTTCATACCATGTTTTGATAATATAATGTGGATTACATTTTATTACCAAAAAATACTGATAGTAATAATTTAAACATGCATCATAAAGAGTTGAAGTTTACACTAAACACAAACGTATATTACATGTATAATGTATACATTCAAATAAAATTTGCTCTAATCTGAAATTCTTGAACCGTTTTGGTAATAACATATTTTTAAAGTTGTTTCTAAGAGTGCCTAGCAATTATTACCGATTTCCAGTTAAAGTGATTTAGAAGTTAGACTGTTCCTATGAGATTGCTCATCGCTAATCCCTTATGAAGATAATTCGGGATGAAGAATATTCAGAGAGTGAGGTAAAAGTCCCAAAATAAAAAAAATCAGTAAATGAGTAGAAAAAACGTGTTAACTGTTGTTAGTTTTTTACGGTCACTCTCTATGTGTCCATACGGGAATAAGTGCGATAAAAAACACAATATCAATATATGTAGGAAACCTGATAACAAAACTGAAACCGGAAGTTCTTAGGAAACTAGAGAAAACACTAAACACTCATAAATTACGATAGCTATAGTAAGTTGGTAGAATGAGAGATAGTGAGGGGTGAGAGAGGGAGAAGTAGAGAGAGAGAGAGAGGGAGAAGTAGAGAGAGAGAGAGAGAGAGAGAGAGAAGTAGAGAAAGTAAGTTGAATAACGGATACATTATCTTCATGGAATAACTTACTTCTGGATGCTAATATTTATCAGTTATTCGTCTACCAGGTTTTGATGGTATTTTATTTGGACTACCGTGTGTACGTTCATCCGTAAATTTTGCTTCAATTATACAATTATGTGGTTTCTTTAGAAAAATGCGACTCTTAACCACTACTCAAGTATTCAATGCAAATAGAGGCGAAAATCAACTGCCTCGTGGATTCCCGCAAAGTAACTTGTGTATGCCATTATCTAGGTAGTGTAAAAAGAACTCAGTCAAACGCAACAAAAAACAATCACCCCTGGATATATAACGAAATGTTTGAATTCATATGACAAAGGTCTCACAAAAGCCAAAGAAATAAGGTGAGCAGATTGTTCTCCTCTCATATACAAGGAATTATAGCTATACTAATAACATTAGTCTTCCTTTATACCTACCTACCTAGTACGACTTTGGGATTATAAGAGGGTAGTCTGATATCTACGGCGATATATGTATATGCGGGATATTTTACGGCGGAGCAGCACATTGAAAATCTGACTTATGAAGAAGTAGTTCAAATAATAAAGAAACTAAAAAACAGCAAAGCGCCAGGAACGGACGGAGGTTCGGCATAATTGTTGAAATATGGAGGACCCGAACTCTGGGAATAATCCATTACCTGATAAAGTTGGTATGGATAAAGGAGCAAATGCAGGAGGAATGAGCAGTTGGTCTTATACAGCCAATATATAAAAAAGGAGATAAGAAGGAATGACAGAATTACAGACCAATTACATTGTGTAATATAATATACAAAATTCTTTCTGGTATTATCTACACTAGATTGTCAGAATACTTAAATACAAAAATATAATTGGTGATTATCAAAATGGATTCAGACCAAATAAAGTCACTACAGACAACATATTCATACTTATACCAATACAAAAGAAAGATTATAAATACGGCATATAACTACATATATGATATGTATATAGACTTTAAACAAGCTTTTGATAGTGTGAAAAGAGACAAAATGCTGGAAGACCTCCAAAATCTAGGTAAAAAAAAAAAAAAAAAAAAATATGGGCCTCACAAAAATGACGTTAAGGGGTTTAAAAGCCGCAGTTAGAGTAGATGGAGAAGTGTCTCCCATATTTGACATCAACATGGGGGTTAGACAGGGAGACACACTTTAAACCATACCGTTCAACATAGTTCTTAAAGCAGTCATCAGAAAAACCAACTTAATCGGCCATATAAAAACCAAAATACTACAAATTACTCCTGAAGCACAGAAAAGAGAGCTTAAAATAAACGAAAATAAAACTAAGTACTTGACCATCAAAAGAACACCTGAGAATGAAAATATTAATATTCATTTTGAGTACTAGACAACTATACTATTGAACGTGTGGATGCCTTCACATATCTGGGAACAGAAATCAATCAGAAGAATTCCGTAAGAAGCGAAATTAATGCATGTATTTCCAGTGAAAATCGTACATACTATGCTAACAAAAGATTGATGACATCGAAATTATTAGACAAAAAAACCAAAATGACTATCTACAGAACTTTGATTAAACCCGTAGTAACTTATGGTTGTGAAACCTGGGTAATGACGAAAAACGAGGAAGCCCAACTCAGGACATTCGAGAGAAAGATACTGAGAAAAGTATATGGCCCGGGTAAGAGGAAGACGACACGTGGAGAATCATGAGCAACGACGAGGTTAATAGACTGAATGAAGGATATGGCATTGTAAGATTTGTGAAAAGTCAAAAACTGTCATGGCTGGGACATGTTCAGCGACAAGAACACACGAAAACGACAAAGAAGATGTTACAGTTTATACCGGTGGGAAGGCAGAAAAAAGGAAGGCCCAGGACGAGATGATTGGATGACGTGGAAGACGACCTGAAAACCATGAATACAACACAATGGAGGAGAAGGGCACAAAACAGATCTGAATGGAAGGACATAACCAGACAGACAAATACACATCCAGAGTTATGATGCCAAAAGAAGAAGTCTGATATCTTTTGGATCTACAGTATAAAAGAAAGATAACAGTGCTACGCTTTAAATGCTTATTATTATTTAGTTATTAGAATTATACTGGAATTGAATAAAAATCTGGATATATTCAGCGGAAAAAGAGTGTACACCGCGTAAAACCCAAAAGAACAAACATTAGATGTCAGGGGAAATCTTAGAATTAGTGAAAAAAATAAGAGTTATGCTACAAGATACCACAAAAACAGGAAGCCACACTCAAAAATAGCAGAACTGAACAGGAAAATAAAATGTATGTGCACGAGAGATAAAAACAACCATATAAATAACGTGGGTCAAAAGTTGAATATTTGGCCCGAGAGTTCAAGCCACAACTTCAAGCCATTCAAGACCATAATGGAGAAGAAAAACCGACACTGAGAGCATTGCAGATACATGCAAAAATTACTACTCAGAATTATACAAACATACTTCAAAAGATGCATCAGTCTCAGAACACAAGAGGCATTCAATCAGAGAGGCAGGACTAATAATCTTACTAGCAGAAATAGAGAAGGCTCTCAACCAACTAAAACACAAAATTCCTAGGGATCGATGGCATACCAGCTAAGACTTTAAAGCAATGGGCGAGATTGGAGCAGATGTAATACTAGATATGTGTAACATGGTATGGATCACAGCTGAAGGACCTGATAAGTGGTGCGAATCAACCTTTATCCCAATCCATAAGATAGGATCACTAACCATATGCAGCAATTCCGATTATTGACCTTATTTCTCATACAAGCAAAATCCGGCTACATAATATAATCACTCAACTGCTAAAGAACGTTCTACTTTCAGAGATAGCCGAAGAACAAGGCGGATTCGTACCAAGAAAAGGAACGTGTGAGAGCAGATATTGAACATCAGACAGATAATAGAAAAAAAGTCGAAATGATTATATTCACTGATCGGCTATAATCACAAATTTCGCCAGTTGTGTATACTTAGGCTCCTTGATAACCAACAATGGCGGTTGCTCCTCAGAAATCAATCATAGACTAGCAATGGTCCTAACCGCAACAGCTAAATTTCCTTCTACCAGACCTTTAAAATCTATAATACGACGCTAAGATTAGCTTATTTTACTTGTTTGAATACATTTCATACAATTTGAATTGTTATGAAAGATATGCAAATATATAAGTTAACAAATTTTTTGGTTAGCGTAAACTTCATAAAATTAAATTCATGCAATAACTAAAAATTTATAACTATACCTCAAAATATTTACTATAAAAAATACTAAAATATATTTTTTAAGCAAATCCATAACTAAAAAAAATCGAGAAAACTTTGAACATCGAGAAAGTCTGTCTTAAGGCATGCACTTATATAACATACCAGCTATCTCACCCCCGCCTAAATCATTCAGGATCTTCCTATAAGATGGCCTCCTCGTCAGCAAATCCCTGCGTTTCTTTGGAGATTCTTCTTCGGAATAACTATCGTCGCTCCCTGCCTCTACCACCTACAAAAAACCGAGATCAGTGCATCGGAAAAGGATGATCAAATCCCATTTGCCCACATTCTCTGTATTCAGAGCTTCATACTACGTTCTCTGTATTTTTAAAATTGAATAAAGTAATTTTATTTATAATTTTTTTTTATAGAATTTAATAGAATTGAAAACGTTTATGTTATATAAAGGAATCCACTCGTCGCGTAAACGGACTCATTCAACTGTTTACTGTGACGACAGCTGCTATTTCCAGCACTACTTCCGTGACGCTCACCTCAGCATTTTACTATATAGCAAAAGTAATACAACGTTTCGCTAGTTTAGAAGCTTCGCTTCAAAAAATATTTTATTATTTACGATACATTTCCTCTTTTTTATGTACTTTAGACAGCCAGACTATTGGGTGGAATTAGAGATAAGAAATTAGAGAAAAACCTTAAAATCACGAGCATCAGGCAGTGGCGAAGAAATGGAATCTATATGGGTAGGAATGTATTCTGTAGCAACTTAAGTACAATATGGTTAACTAAATAAATTCAGTGCTTATCTCTCAGATATATATTTGCGTGTACTGACCAACTAGGGATTAAACGTTGGAATAGGTATCGGAGGGGTTATACTTTTGCTAGTAAGAGCAAACCATTACAATCTCCGGTAAATGCCTAACTGAAAGTGACGAATGGGTCGCGGCTGATCTAAAAAGTCAGCCGGCTCTGCCAACGAATCCTACCTCCTACGTCCACGAAGACATACCAACCCGCACTGAGGCAGCGTTATAAGGTACGCCTCAAAACCTTTGAACAAAAACATGAACGAGACATTCAAAGCATGACGATCATTTTTCGTAGGCCCAAATGACCCCGAAATGGTTAGATTTAGGGATCAAGTCAGGAGGCCAGAGGGTACTAAGAATCTGCTGAGTCTAAACCGCTACCCAAATAAAAAAACAACGTTTTTTTAGCGACATGTACCTGCCGCTCGCTATCAAATAAATCCAGACTACCAATAACTTTTATTATAATTTTTAGTATAAATTCATTTATTCTGTCAGAAAATATTGAAGGTGTCCACATTCTGCTTGATCGTATTCACGAAGTAAGAGAGAAAATAGACAGTAAAACAAATTCAAAGAAAACCAAATTTTTAGTTTTTAGTCGTCACTGACATATAGATGCAGAATTTCAATTAAATTGAGTCAAAGTTAGATCCAGAATTGTAACGTTCAAATTGAAAATCGAATTAAATCGATAAAATCAAAATAGATCGATTCATTTGAACAGGTTCGTAAAGAATTATAAGGAACACCCCCCGTAAATTTAAAAACTACCGGCTAAACATAGCTCCCGCTCCAAAAAAAGCACGCTATTGGTAGAAGGCGCTTTCGCGGGAAATTTTCGTCGATTGCCGTGAGTTGGGTTACTATTACTGGTAAAGCGCATCCCCTACTTTCAACAGACAACTAGTCACCAAGCTCGTTTAGTTACTTTCCAAAATTCCTTCACTCGTTTTTGTGGAGGTAAAAACAGCTAGTCGTTTTATCGTGCATTTTGGGAAACGCGTTCAGTTTTGCACAAATTACCGGCATTAACATACAGAGTCCCTAGATCCGCTAGATCAGGGCATACAATTGGTATTGTATATTGTATTTAAAAGGTAATTTTAATTTCAGGAAAGGCTATGCAGTACCGCAATGTGGTTGGATTACTTTTTTTGTCTCTTTGATGGACGTTGTATGTCTACACGTGGCCGTGTAGATTTATCAAGCTGCCTCTAGTTTCATTTTTGAGTTTGGCTCCAAAATTTCGTGCCGTTCGACCTCACAAACGGCGAAATGTGTCTTTTTAATATAAACAATGATTAATATGAACAAATGCTTAATTTTTTACTTGGCACATTAGGGGGCATTATAAAATTTAGTTCTGTTTGACTACATAAGGCGTAGTGGATATAACTTTGTGGTAAAATATCAACTATGGCTTATGTAGTTAAAGAGAACTAAATTTTATAGTGCACCCGAATGAATTAAGTAAAAAAACTTAATTATTTTTCCATATAAATCATTGTCTATATTAAAAACACACACTTTGCCGCTTGAGAGGTAGAAAGATAAGAAATTTTTGGGGCCAAACCTAAAAATGATGATTATAGGACGCAGATAAATCCATACATAAAATAAATGAAACAAGCGCTTACTGGACAAAGTCAATCAGAGACAAAAAAATGATCCAACCACAATTATGGGTACAGAAGACAAACTAGAGAGATGGAAAGAATACATACACTATTTTTGACGACGATACACCTTGTTCTCCACCATTCACAGATAATCGAATAAATAAAAAAGGCCCAGAAATAACCAAAGAAGAAGTGATTCACGCAGTAAAATCTCAGAAAGATGGAAAAGCCACCGGTCCAGACAATATCAATGTAGAAATACTAAAACGAATTGCAGATAACGAAAGTAAAAGCCTAGACTTAATAAACAGTACTATTTAATAAGATATATGACACAGGTAAAATACCAACAGACTGGCTAAAATTAACATTCATAGCATTACAAAAAAAATCGAATTCCTCACAATGAGATCGTTATCGAATATTAAGCTTGATGTCTCATGTCCTTAAAACTTTTCTCAGAATTATCCATACACGAATTTACAAGAAGTGCGAGTTCCAGATGAGTAACACTCAATTCGGATTTCGAAACGGATTGGGAACACACGAGAGCTTCTTTTTGCTTTAAATGTGTTAACGCAACGATGCAGAGACATGAATGTAGATGTATATGCATGTTTTATTGACTATCGAAAAGCATTTGACTGTGTTAACCATCAAAAGATGATCGAAATTCTGAGATCAACTGGAGTTGACGAACAAGACTTGCGAATTATCTCAGAACTATACCGGCACCAAACGGCAACAATTGAAATAGAGCACACAACATCCGAAGATATAAAATCCGACGAGGAGTGAGACAGGGTTGCGTCTTATCACCGCTACTGTTTAATTTTTATTAGGAGTCTATGTTCAGAGAAGCATCAGACCAGGTCCAAGGCGGAATTAAGATTAACGCAATCAGCATAAACAACATCAAATATGCTGATGTCTTAATAGCAAGCAACGCACAAGAACTACAAAATATAATAAATGCGGTAGTTCACCACAGCAAAATGTTCGGTTTACATCTAAACGTTTCCAAAACTAAAACTTTAGTATTTTCAAAGACACCAATAAACGTACATGTGTATGCCAAGGGACAAATAATCCCTTAATTCTAGTCAGTGTAATCCAAAAAAAGAAATACCATCAAGAATCGAACAAGAAAGGAAAACATTCATGAGCATGAAAACATTTTTTACAAGATCAGACCATAGTCTGCAGCTTAGAATCCGAATGATTAGATGTTACGTTTTTTCTGTCTTACTGTATGGCTGTGAAAGTTGGACAATGGACTCTGAAATAGAAAAAAGAATAGATGCTTTTGAGATGTATATATACAGACGAATGTTGAGAATTCCATGGGTACAAAGAGTTACTAATGTTGAGGTGCTTCGTCGAATGTGTAAACAGAAAGAATTGCTAAGAATAATCAAAGAGAGAATAATGCAATACTTGGGTCATGTGTTGAGAGGCGTTCAAGTTATACTGGAAGGAAAAGTACAGGGCAAAAGATCGGTAGTAAGACGCCAGAACTCATGCCTGGAAGACCTGAGGAAAAGGTTCGACCGCTCATCCACAGAAATCTTTCGCGCAATAGTTTCCAAAACTACAGTTGCCATTTGGATCGCCAACCTTCGAAAGGAGACGGCGTCATGAGAAGAAGACATGGCGGTACTGCTTAGCCTTTTCTGAGATTATAATTAACTTTTATATACAATACCAATTCCAGAATAGCAATGACTAAAACTACTTTTATAAAAATGAAGACATTTCTTCGCAACAATCATCTCAATTTAGAACTAAGACAAAGAATGGTTAAATGCTACATTTAGTCTGTACTTTTGTATGGGACAGAAGTGTGGATTCATATACGGATACTGAAGATACCATGGACGGCAAGAAAAACTAATGAGGAAGTACCATGGAGGGTCGACAAAGATAGAGAATTGCTAAAGACTGTTAAACACCGGAAAATGTCTTATTTGGGACATATAGTGAGGGGAAATCGATATACAATACTAATCTAGAATACTACAAATGATCCTTAAAGACAAAATATTAGGCCGTAGCGGTGTAGGTTTGTTGGCTAAAAAACATTCGTGAATGAAATCGATATCAAATGCAGGACAATTATTTCATGCGGCAGAAGATCGAGAAGAACCAAAACTTAAGTAGCCTCTTAACTTATTTTATAAGAAGTACTAAGTAAATTTATTAAAACAGTCTACATATAATTCTCACATCATTAATTTTCTACAAAATAATTAAAATACCAAGCGTTATGGTAAAAAAGCAGAACCTTTCTGTTGATAGTCGACAACGTCTCAATATTCAAATATGTAGTTAAAATATGTTCATTTTTCCATTTCATAATATTTATAACTATGGCAACATTGTGTTAAACTGTTTGTTCGGGCTGTTAGGCCCTTGTCTTCTGAGATTAGTATTCTATCTCGACGTTTCGCCAACATTAGGGGCTGGCATCTTCTGAAGATGTTACTGCTTCGCTTGTTGAAACTGACCACTGTCAGTGAAAACTGTAAGCTGAAACTGACAGTTTCAGCTTACAAGCGAAGCAGTAAAATCTCCAGGAGATGCCAGCCCCTAGTGTTGGCGAAACGTCGAGAACTAATCTCAGAGGACAACAGCCTAACAGCCATAACAAGTTAGACGATGGCCGTGAAAGCCTTAAGCATTTTATGGCAACATTCTCTATAATTATCTAGGTTGTTATATGGCAAATTTGTCATCACTGCCATTGCTTGTCGTTTCATAGTAGGCTAAATGAAAAATAAAACATACATTGTACATTAATCACTAACTGAAGCAGAATCCATTGATATAAATTTTAGGTTCATAGAGCTCGAACCCTTTTAATACTAGTACTAAAACCTGCTTAAATTATAAATTAATTAATATACTCAAGCTCATAAGAGTAGTACCGACTTAAAAAAATCATAATGATATATTATGTTTTTATAAACTTACTCTCAATGTTTGCAAATTTCCTTGGGTGGTCTGTATAACAGAATTAGGTTTACTGCTGACCAATATCACGTTTCCTTTACTTAGCATGGGTTGTAGATTCGCAGCCGTTTGTATGACAGATTGTTGGTTGGGTTGTATGACGCTTTGCACCTGGAAATATTTATAAAATCTTATAGATATTGACAAATAAAACTATAAAGTTTACAAGAATATTTAATATAAATATTTAAAATGTACAGTGTAAATACTCATTGGCGATCAATTACAATATACATAAAACAAATAGTAAAATTGTAGTCATTTGTAAAGTAAATATAAAAAGATATCACATCGATATTCTTCAGCGAATTAAAATTCGTTTAAGAAGCATTGGAAAAAGAAAAACAAAAAATGTTTTTAACCTGACCTGAATTTTAAAAAAGAAATATTAATATTTTTTTTTTTATTTTGCAACTTCTTACATGAAGATTATTGATCATATTAACATTTATTTATAACATTTTATAACAAGATGGTATAATAAAAATGCTATTTTTATTGTAAACAAATAAAAAAAATAACCATTTCCCAATTTCAGTTCCCTAATTAAAGATTACTGGTGTTCAAGTGTGAGATTAACCTTTCGTTAACATTAATTTTGAAATTTTAGCGTTTTATAGGGTTTAAGAAAACGACAAAATGATATACATAAAAAAAACAAGAAAATATTATACAATTTTAAAATTGCACAACGCACAGCATAAAAAACAAACTTAGCAGAAACATGAGTTTCAACAAGTTATTCATCAAAGCAATAGTTTTTTAACATAAGAATTCGAATACCTACAAATGCAACACACTTCTGACTTCTCTATCTTTTGTCTCAGGATACCCCACACATTTTCTTTGTATTTTTTGCCCTTCACGCATGGGTCCATCTTTTGTGAGAACATTTTTGTTTTTTTAATATGACAGTAATGTTATTTTTTTGAAAAGCAAAGATAGGTGAATTCTGCTCCATCTTCTTTTTATTGGTCAGAGTAACAAAAATTTCAATCATTGGATATTTAGTAAACAGTTAATAAACAATTCAATAACAGATAGCTATTGGATGTTATATTTCATTTGCTTCTGAACACTTACTTTACTTTTTGTGTCCAATTCAAAGAATTCAATTTTGTCCATCCAGAAAAGAGTGATCTGAATGGTCGTGTTAGTTGCGTGTAGGAGATCGTGTTCAGAGGTTTCTCCAACAAAGGACATCTAAGTGGATGTGTTAAAACTTGTACTGTCCACATTAACACAGGATATCCTAATTAACAGTCCCTATTTCTCCGTGTTGGTTTTACACTTGGATACTCCGACTCACAGACGATTGAAAGTCATCCACACAGGGTAAGAAAGATGGCTACCAGACCAAAGTTCGTCTCGAGGATTCAGATGACGAGTTAGTTGACGCTCAACCTACTGTCTACCAAATATTCTGTCTAATCTTTATTCTTCAATTTTAATTTCCACTCGTTTAGACTCTATAACTTGTATCTATGTCACAGACATATATAAAATGTCTATGATGTATATGCTCTTCTCCAAAGTCCGTACAAAATATTTGTCAGTTGGCAACTCTTGACTTCCCTCTATCAGGGTTACTTAAAAATAATAGAAAAAAAACTTATTTTTAAGTTCCAAAATTCATTTATGTTATTTAAATATCTTCTGGGGTGAGTACATATTGATATCATTTCATATTTTTTGTAGTTGATTTCGATTTAGTTTTTTTTGGTCTAATTAAAACTTTTCTTGTCCCTCTTGTTCTGGAGTGACTTCTCTATCCATAGGGAGCAAAACTGCAGTAAGAAGACCGCAACTATAAAAACTCAACAACTACTTGAAATTACAATCCATCCACACATTCAGTCTACATTCCAGTCAGCATCTGAAGCCAACAACCACACTGGCTACATTCAACAAGTTATCCAAATACATTAAGCCTACAATATATGCAATAAAAATTATTTTCGCATTTTTAGACAGGATTTGCTTCTTTTCTCTTAAAATTAAATTCATTCCTGTATAATAAATATTACTTAATATCCTATTTTATCTGTCCCAGCCAAACTCATTTCTCAGATTTGCTTGGTAACGCAAAATTATATTTGATTTGCTTGGTAACGCAAAATAGTGATTTTAATTAAGATGTTTGTAATGGCTCTGATTTTACGTGCAATGCAAGAAGGTTTTGATTTTTATCTTGAGTTTTAGAATATAAACCTCTAAAGAACATTAGTAAGTTGACTAATACAAATATTTATTTAAAAATTCCTTTATAAAAGGTATAATATAAAAAACCCTATCGGGCTACATCACTGAACGTTTTCGGAATTAATATTCCATCATCAGTGCTATCTAGCCCAAAAATCCTAAAAACCCAAACATGTACAACCAGATGGAACTGATGATGGAATATTTGTTCCGAAAACGTTCTGTGACGTAGCCCGATAGGGTATTTTAATATTATACCTTTTATAAAGTAATTTTTATGTGATACATAGTATACAGCCAGCTACAGGAATTTAGTTTACTTGTGGATATTATAAATATATCGGAAAACGTACTTAAGTATTGGTGAATAACAGTGTTGGTAATATTAAAAACCATAACATATTCCAACTCTCTCTAAAAAGTTTCTTTTCTATTTGTGAGTAAATGATCTGCCAGCGCTCGCTTACTAAACATATGATATTTTGATATATTAAAATGTTTCATATTAGCCATGTGATAAAATGTAAAAACTAACGCTATTTTTAAAGAGCACCTGAAAATCGCAACACAATCTCACCTGGCAGATTTAAACATTAAAAATCTGCCGCTTTGTTAGTTTCTTCTCAGCCAACACTATCTTGTGAATGTTATTATTATGAATCTTTCTAGCTACTCCACGAATCTGTTTTCTGATATTCTTTTTATATGTTTATTCCACTGTATTTTTATGATTTATTTCATCTATTCCACATAATTTCCTTAATTTTTATTCTATCTATCAGCGTTTTGTTTAACCTTTATCCTTGATAGTAATATTTCCATTTTTGATACCTCCAATAATATTCGTGTGTTTAGTTCGTACCCCACGCAAACTTTGCCCATAAAAGATTCCTATAAATTACTAGAAAAGAAAATACAAAAGAAAGGAAGTTACAAAAATAAACAAAAGAAATGATATAAAGAAGATCAGATATTTCTAATACGAGGCATTCAATCACTATATAAACAACTAGTGATAAAATCCACAGAACACAATAAAAATATGAAATGTTTGGGGACAAAAGAAGGAAAAAGAAAGAAAATAGCGTTGAAGCAGATAAAGAACACAGAAATAAGGGAAAGTTACCAACAATCATGGAAAATTACTAATAAGGAATTATACGACCCATAAGTGAACAAACCAAAAGAAGTCAAAACAAATGAGAAAATAATTAATGCAAGCTCAGAATTTATACCGGAACTTACTGAAAGATTAATAACACTCGGTAAACTAGGTAAAGTGACAGGCAAGGGCGGACATATCAAAAACATGTTCAAGAAAGAGGAAGTAATACCCAAATTAAAAATTATAGTCAATAAATTAATGACTAACATATACAACTCTACCGAACATAATATGGGAAAAGGGAGTAATTATAATCTTAGAAAAAAAAAAAGATTCCATTGTACTAAACAACTACAAACCAATAATCTTTCTATTGCAAATCTATAAATTATTTACAAAAATTGTCATAAACAGATTAAAAAATAAACTCGAATTCTGCCAATAGAGCAGGCCACACGCAGAAAGGGATCCAGCATATATGACCATTTTAACAGTTAAATCGAAAAGATGACAGAATACAACTTACAGCTGCTTATCGCTTATGTCGACCTTGAATAAGACTTCAAACTCCTAGGAACTCTGTGAAATCGTTAAACAATACATTCATACACATATACACAAATATAAAACTCTCCTCAACAATATATATGACAAAACAACTTCACAAGTACATATGAACCGGAGGAACTATAAAATAAATATGCAACGATTCTGAGATACGCAAAAGATATAATCTTATTTTTAGAAAGAGTAGAAAATCTGAAAAAGATGGGATCAAGAACTTTAAGAAAAATCAAAAGTGATATATCTAAAGATGAGTAGGGGAAACAAAAGTGATAAGCTCTGATGATCAAAAAATCAGATTAAACAAACAAGAAATTGGAAAATGTTACCGAATACATTTATTAACGCCAAAAAATACCAATAGAAAAATAAAATAAAGATATAGCAGTAGGCAGCAGAGTGAGATTGGTGTGGACAGACTTTGGTAAAATCATTTAATTTAATCTTCGCTTGTCGACAGCTGGACATAGATCTCCCTCATAATTTTCCTTCTATTTCGATATTGTGCCTCTTGCATCCAATTCCTATAGCAACGTTTTAGATCGCCAGTCCAACTTGTTGGTGAACAACCTCTGATTCGGTAGGCATCATCTCTTGGTCTCCAATCCAGTATCCGATTTGTCCATCTGTTATCTGTCATTCGAGCCACGTGACCTGCCCAGTTCCACTTCAGTGTTCCTATTCTCTCTACAGCATCAGCCACTCCTGATCTTCGTCGTAGCTAGCGGTTTGGGATCTTGACTAGCATTGAAACGCCCAAGATCGATCGCTCTTTAATGTCACACGGATCTTTTCACTGTTCTCCTTGTTATAGGCAACGTTTCCGCTTCTTAAGTCAACACTGGTAAAACAGATATTAATTTTTTATTTTAAGATATATTGGTAAGTTGAATGATTTGAAAATGTTGTTCAACTTGCCGAAAGCCGCACAAGTCAGTCTTATACGACGGAGAAGCTCTACGGTTTGGTTATCTTTTCTTTTCCTATGCCAATCTTGCGACCTTGGCATTTATAGACCATTACCTGGTCTATATATGGATCTTGTTCTTACGCATATCTTACGACTACAAGATTTGTCATCATCTGGGTTTAAGATACATTTATTTTCAATCTCCCTTCTAGCTAGGAAAGTTAGAGTTCATTTAAAAAGTTTTTTGGCCTCATTTATCCTATCAGCTATTAGCACAATATCATCTGTAAATCTCAGGTGGCTAAGCTTTTCTCCATTTATGTTTATGCTTTTATCGGTCAGTTTTACCATTTTAGATAATATATATTACAAAAGCATAGTGAATAGTTTCGGTAATATAGTGTCCTCCTGATGTGTCAACGTTGTATCTGGAATTTCTGATCTAATCCAAAATCTTACCTCTCTGCTATTTATCTTCTATATATCTTTTACCTGCCATTAAGGGGCCTATATGTTTAAATTTGTTTAAATTGTTGAGTTAAACTAATCAATAACTGGTTAATCGTGGTGGTAAATAATTGATGCATATAGTGAAGAAATAACCTGTTTAACAGAATCTCTTTACACGTTCTTTATTGTGCTCTTATGGCAACATATGGAAACATACTGCCTGTATAAAATTATAACGACTTTGCCTAGGAAACAACTTTAAACCCTATGTTCAATTTTTTACGTAAAAAGACTAAAGAAGACGATTTCTTCTTTTAATATTACTAACCAAATCCTACAACGTCTACCGAAAATTTTGCGACTAGGCTTCATTTCACAAAATAAGACCAGCTTCTTTCATTTTTCTCTTTTAACAATACGTTTTTAATTTATATTAAAAAGTTTGTGTGCAAAAACACATATTTTTCGGAAAAGGTTCATCAGACTTAAAGAAAAGATTGCGAATCCTAAGTGTCAAGAATTTCAGAACAAAATTCAAAAACTATACTGTGACAAAATAAAAATTTTGTCTACCATTAAAGTTTTGATATTTCACAATAAACAGACGCTTTATATTTTAAAGGATTCTGTTTTATTGCAAACATTAAATTGGCATGAAGTAGAACAATTTTATATAAATAGATTTTCAATTCATCACAAAACTGACGTACGCGTCAGTCATTTTTGTCATAAAATACATTAAGTACTTATTTTATATATTAAAAATACACCTTTCATCAAAAATACTTTCCGTCAATATACTTCCAAATACTAGAAATTTATAAAATATTTATTTTTTACATATTTTAGAATGAAAAGTAGGTATATCCATTTTTTTTTCAAAAATGCTTCAACATAGCTATCTTATCTTGTCATTAACTAATTCAGTGATGATGATATAAAGTTAAAACATACAGACAACGAATTTTAACGTTTCTTGATAACATACAGTTTTTTGCTCTGTGGTTAAATTTTTAATTAAGTTTTTACCGACTTTTCATTCTCAGGCCCTGAATTATATTTTTTTCTCTGTACTTTAACAACACTGTCTGACTTTAAAGCAAAAAAAGTTAAATTAATTATATTTTCCAATATGGTACTGTTTCCATAAGAGATTACAAATTTTAAATATTTTTCAATCTAGTGATATAGCAACAAAATACGATAAGTCTACTATAAATCTAGACCCCTCTACCATTAGCATGCTTTAATAAAAATATGAACACCAATCGAATAGAAACGATCAATATATATATATATATATATATATATATATATATATATATATATATATATATATATATATATATATATATATATATATATATATATTGCGGTTGTCCTTATTAAATAATGTCCATGATCCATCTCAGATATATATTAAAACTAAGAAGCATATTTCAGTTGTGTTTTTTTGAAATCATTATATTTGTTATAAATAACTTATCCTGTTATTTACAAAAACTTATTTATTCTGTTTGTCTATAAAATTATACGCAGTGTAATAAATCAATGACATATCAAAATATAATAATATTGTATTTTTTAAGTATATTAGGAAAAAATGTTATAGCTGTATTGATCGGTTCGTGTAACGCCTTTCGATAGAGGTCAATGGTATGAGTGACAACCAGCAGTAAGATCTTTTACTGTACCACTGCACTAATCCATCTGACGACCCGTTCCAGTTGCATATTCTAAGTTATATTTTGCGGGTCCGCGCCGAAATTTAAACCATGAAACCTCTAGGGTATTCACAATTCAGAGCATGTCTATAGAATCAATACTAGTAAATGAACATCTTTACTTAATTCGTTCCGTTTATTCCCAAATACACACCACTTTTTTGCATTAAGAGTATGATCTTTTATTCATAATAATGAAATAATCTTTTCAATATATTGTAACGAACAAGCTTATTTCGACGTACCCCATGTAACGGTTGCATCTCGAGACGATGATGTGTGTTCGAGAGTGTTCCCGATGTATCCACCGGGTGAGAGATCGTAGCGACAATACAAGTGACAATAGAGGTGGACTATTCACGAATGTTCTAGTACATGATAACTTGTATTTATAAGCAGCAGCAAACTTATAAATATATTTAGATAAATTAGAACCGCTACGTTAGTTTTTTTTTGGTAAAACGCTACAGTTGGTGTTACGGTGTGAGCTAATTTATTTATTTAAAAATAAATTCAGCAGTGACTTTTGAACTTAGTGAACTTGGTGATTCTCCCAAGAAAGAACATTTGTAAAGTACGTGTGTGCCTAACCAAAGATGCTGCTGGTAGAACTTTCAGTAAAACAGTTGCGAAAGCAACTAAAAGAACGCGATGAAGGATGTACTCAACAAGAATGGAGATGTCCCAGATACATTCCAGTTTCAGTCAGCACAAGAAGCAGGTCTAACGAAAATAAAAAATGTTTTTCAAATGATTGAAGAAACTTCTAGAAAGAATGATGAGAAATTTGAAAATGTTTCTCTAATGATTGGGGAAAACTCTAGAAAAAATTACGAGAAATTCAAAAATGTTTCTAGAAGATTCGATGAAACTTTTCAAATAATTAAATTCAAAATAGAATTCAACGAGCAAGTGAAAATTTGAAGCAGATGTTGCTCGTATTGTGCAGTTAGCTTATCCAGAGACACCAGACAACATTTTAGAATAAATTGCTGTAGATACCTTCGTCAATGGGTTGAAAGACAGTGAATTACAGAAAGCTTTACGATTAGCAAGACTGAAAGTTCTGGGTTTTCGCCTTGGAATATATAGTTAAACTTCACGGAGCACTTTCGCCGCATATTGAAAGAAAATAATACAACAGTCAGAAAGCTAGAACAGATCGAACACTGGGCTGGAAAAAGTACTTGGCCTTACCCAATAGGTCATACACTAGAAAATCTGGATTGGAAGATTGTCAGAAGCATGCTTGAAGTGATCTTCCGAGAAGCCGGCGTACGAATTACTGTGTTGTTGCATTAACCCGAAGAGATCGTGTTCTTCAAAGTCAGTAGACTGTTATTTCTTCTTGAGGGGTTCATGCAGAGCTGGAGAGTCCTGCAGATTCCGCCATCCTGGGCCTATATATAGAGTTACTGATCGGGAAGCTCATATCTAAGAGCGGAGCAGTGTAACAAACGAGCTTATTTCGAAGTATCCCATGTAATGGTTGCATCTCGAGCCGATGATGGGTGTTCGAGAGTGTTCCTGAATGTATCGACCGGGTAAGAGATCGATGCATCAATACAAGCGAAAATAGAGGTGGACTAATCCAGATTGTTCTAGTACATGATAACTTGTATATATAAGCAGCGCTGATATTAGTTTAAGGAGTTTTTAAGATATTATCGTACTGTAAACTTAGAAATAAATATGTTTACATAAATTAGAACCGCTCGTTTTACTGGTAAAACGCTACAATATCTATAATGGTGTGACTACCTACATAGTGGAGAAACAAACTAGATATAACGTATAGTATAGAAGTTTCACTTTAAATTTTTTGATACACTTTTGATATGTTTTGGATACTTAATGATATTTATTACTCTGCATATTGTTTTACAGATTATTTCGATTTATAGTGAATTTTATGAATTATATAAAAATGGAACAAATAATTTAGATAGGACAACCTTTTCATTGACCAAGTTACGATGAAACCAAATTTTAAAAATAACTGGTATTATTATAAGTAACATACAATGAACATACTGTTATTACAGTATTGTATTTTTTTTTTTCAATATTTTAGATAGCCGAAAAGGACTGATGTAAATATTCGATCCAGTAAATTCTATGGATGTCCATAAAATGAAAAAGCAATAAAAGGCACTGGAGGGGTAAACAAACCCCTACCTGTGCTTGCGTATGGGAAGGGAGGGTCAGCTGTACAATGTTAGTTGCTGTCACCAGATGGGGCTGGGAATTAGTGACGCCTACCGATGAAGGAACTCCTGATTGTTGGTCGAGAGTTGTCGCTAGAGGATCCACTTTACACTTCTCCTCCACGATAGTGTCCATGGCCTGACTTCAAAATACCTGCCAATACAATAATATGAATTAGGTATCATAGTTTTTAAACATATTAACAATAACAAGTTAAAAAGCATATTTTTTAAAGAGAACTCCAATCCAATTTTCCCCTCCCATCCTCATTCCAATTAAACATTAAGAATTTATTGTAACAAAATGTAAATATTAAATATTGTTTTCTATTCTCACAAGTAACAGATAAACTATATACAGAGCGGCCCAAAAGTCTGGAAAAGGCTAATTATCTCGTAAAATGCTAATCATAATTGTACAAAATTTGAGGTATACCTATTTTGGGATACGGAGATTCCATATTTGATATTTACAATGTTGCCAGATTTGCCGTTTTTCTTATATTATTAGTAACTTTGGTTTTTCAAATACATCACCCTGTATATTCAGTAATTATTGGAATCTCCTATTCAATACGAGTTCAACCATATGTAACATGTATGATTTTATGTAATCTAGAAGGTCATAAATATATAAAACCGAAGTCTGGCAACGCCTAAATTGTTTCAATAAATTTTTTAATACTAACTATTTTCAAATACATTAAAACGTAACAATTGATAGTTTAGAACATTTTTTAACATAGTAGTTACGTTATTAAGTGTTCAAAATGTGCTCAATTTGTGAATTGACAGCACCCTAATCGATGGTAGAAGGCCTCTACCACATTTCTCCATGATTGTCTAGAAATTATTCGAGATGCATTGATAATTCGTTGCCTTAGCTCTGCAAGGCTTGCTGGTTAAGTTTTGTAAACTGAATTTTTCAAGTATCCCTAATAAAAATAATCTTTAGGATTGAAATCGGGTGAACGTGGAGGCCATTCAATTCTACCTTGTCTACCAATTTATCGTCCAGGAAATATCTCATCTAAATATCGCCGAACATTTACACCAACTATCTGACGTTAAATTTCGTTCAACAAAAAATGACCCAATTGAATAAGTATATAACTACTATATCTGACCATACATTTAATTTTTTTGGTCTTTGAATATGGTTTTCACGCATTCAGTCTTCAGTGTGAATTTACGTCACACCAGTACCTTAAATTGTGTCGATTTACACTTCCACACAGTGTAAAAGTTGCTTCATAGGAAAAACATATTCTGTTAACGAAATTTTAATAATTTTCAATTTTATCCATCATTACCTCAGTAAACTCTAATCTACGACCAAAGTCATCTTCACTTAATTTTTGCAATAAGTTAATTTTGTATGATTTAAATTTATTTTTACGTAATAAACGTAAGACTGAAGAATTACCTACAGCATGTACTTGTGCAACCCTACCTAGGGATGTATGTGGATCTTCAACAAAACTTTGCTTATATCTTAAGTTTTGTTGTCATTGATAACTCGTTTCGGTCAACCTGATCGGTATCTATCTTTTACTTCTCCAGATTCCTCAAATCGCCTTACAGTTTTTTGTACCGTCGTCTTATGAATAGGAGAACGGTTTAGAGAACGGCACTTTAGAGAAGCAATTTAAATTGCAGAACTTTTTTAACCACAACTACTGTCAATTTTAGTTCATAATTTAAATGGTGAACAAATGTCCAAATCACTGCATTCTCCATTTAAATATTTAAATTTATTAAAATCTACATATTTTGCACTGTTTTATGTATTTAAGATCTTTCAGACTAAATAAAATCAAGCGAACATATGGTTGAACTCGTATTGAATAGCTGAACACGTGTGAAATCCACACTGAATGTGTGAAAACCATACTCAAAGACCACAAAAATTAAATGTATGGTCAGTTATAGTAGGAACTTATTTAATTGGGCCATTTTTTATCGAAAGAAATTTAACGTCAGATAGTTGGTGCAAATGTTTGGCGTTATTTAAATGAGATATTTCCCGGACGATAAATTGGTAGACAAGGTAGAATTGAATGGCCTCCACGTTCACCCGATCTCAATCCTAAAGATTATTTTTATTAGAGATACTTGAAAAATTCAGTTTACAAAACTTAACCAGCAAGTCTTGCATAGCTAAGGCAATGAATTATCGATGAATCTCGAATAATTTCTAGACAATCATGGAGAAATGTGGTAGACACATTCTACCATCGATTAGAGTGCTGTCAACTCACAAATGGAGCACATTTTGAACACTTAATAACGTAACTATTATGTTAAAAAATATTCCAAACTATCAATTGTTACGTTTTAGTGTATTTGAAAATAGTTAGTATTAAAAAATGTATTGAAACAATTTAGGCGTTGCCAGACTTCTGTTTTATGTATTTATGACTTTCCAGACTACATAAAATCATAAGTGTTACATATGGTTGAAGTCGTATTTAATAGGAGATTCCAATAATAACTAAATATACAGGGTGATCCATTTGAAAAACCAAAGTTACTAGTAATATAAGAGAAACTGAAAATCTGGCAACATTCTAAATACCAAATATGGAATCTCCATATTTGGTATTTAGATAGTTATCTATGATTTTCTTAGTTCTTGCTCACTAATTAACATTAAATAACATTTAATTTACTTTAGACCACATGGTCATTTGCTGTGCTAATTTTTATAAGTTCATATATGTTGTTAGTTACTTAATTGTTTATACAAGATCAGCGTATTATGTCCATTTACTTAAGTTTCATTCACATTATTGTTAATAACATTGACTGCTACATGTCTTTTTAAGGTAACAATTAACATCGTTTCCATGATTGTGTGGTTCTCATATTGTACTTTTTTAGATGAACTGATGATGCTTTCAAAACTCGAAAGCGAAACGTCTTCAAAATAGATAAAGTAGCCTATCAACTTTGTCTTTTATTTCTCCACCTAGAGACCGATATAAGAACCCACCACTCGTCCGAGTGATCCTTATATATATATATATATATATATATATATATATATATATATATATATATAAATATACAACTTTTTCTATACGACGTGTCTGTAGATGCATATTATCATTTGGATTAAACGTGGTGCAAAATTGTTCCTTGGTTTATAACATTACTTGCTCTGATGGACTATTACGTTGACCATAAAATGGACGTACTGCACGATAAGTATTTCGAACAGAACCACAATTTTCAAAATAAATTTGTAGAATTTGGAAGCATTGTTCGATAAATGCTAAAATGCCAAACCGAACTTAACATAAATCATTTGACAGCTGTCAAAATGTCTGACAGTTAAAAAAGTGATACCAACTTACATTACTATCCCTCTAAAAAAAACTTTACTTATCTTTTCCTACAACAAATTCGTAATTTAGATTGTTTTTCTACTGTTTTCTACACAAATGGAAAAATCGCCAAGTGTGAAGCTATATTTGATGAGTAGTACTTGAAAATATTAAGAAATATTTCTATTTTCGAGCAGCACTAGACTAAGAATATTAATTTGGGTGTAAATGGTAGCGTGTACAACGTGGAGTAAAATAGGAACTATTTGTTGTCTTGGACACATATTATGTTCTTCTGTTCTTCTTAACACTTCAAAAATTCAGTTGCAGATGAAACATCAGGAACAAGCAATTTTTAACACAACTTATAAATTCTGATAATAGTTTCATTTCCTTTAACAATTAAAATTCTAAAATTAGAACATTGTTTAGCAAAAAATAGATAAACTTATTTTGAATAAACGGAAGTAACACTTGTTATACTGTCTTTTAAATTTTTTGCCTCAAGCTATTTTGTTTTCTTTGCAAGTTTTAATAATCTATATACTATTGTTGACATCAAAATGTTTCTTGTACTTTGATTCTACAAATCAAAATGACATAAGAATGATAGAAAAATGAATTTAAACATCGCATAATTTAATTGAGAGTTGTTAACTTACACAAGGTAAAAAAATATTTTTGTTTATAATGAAATTATTTTGATCATTACCTATCTTAATAATTTGTCTTTAACTTTCTGTAAATACATTTGATATGTTTATCTCATTCATTAAATAATGTGATTAATTTTATTTAAATTGGTATTTATGATTTTATCTAGTATCGTCAAAATAAAAATAAAAAAGGTATTTTTAATTGATCAAAATAACCCAAACTCTCCAAATGATAGGAAGATTACATACAGTATGTATATATTGAGAATGTATGGTAAACAAGAAGAAGAGTAAACAAGGTTTATATAAAAAACTATATGACATGATGCATTGTAGAACTTTTACTAAAATAAGTTAAATTTCTTGGGTTTGAATCTTTAGAAGCAAAATATTTAGGAATCTTTAAAAATTAGTTCTTTTCAGATTGTACATTTCAAAGGAGTCGATTGGCATCGAAGAGATTTGCACTAGGGTGTATCAAGATGTTAGTTGGAAATGTTATATTTAATAGCATGAAAAAGGCACTAGTGTAATTTTTTAGCACTTTGAATTTTATTAAACAACTGATCGTACTTTCGATTGTATCGAAATTTAAATTTATTTTATTTAGATTAAAATATGTACTATCTACTAACTCGATCTATAATCAATTAAAGAAAATTTAACGGTTGTCAATTACAAATTTAAACGACATTTAAAATTTTAATTGTTTATTTAGTCTTTCCATCCCCTTTGGAAATTTCTGCAAAAGTTCTATTTCTTCTAATAACTGGTATTCAAAAGTTTATAACAACAGTGAAATAAAATAGGCAACCAGGCGTATCGTATAGACCTGATATTCTGATATCACTAATCCGAGATGTAATGATGCACTCTCATATTCTCGGTTAAAATCATTAGAGTTTAATCGTTAAAATTCCTTGAAACAAGGGATTGCGACTGTCCGATTGTCTTATTTATTTAGTAAGTGCCTAGCATTTGTGTCACATATTTCGTGCCGTGAGTCTATGCGTGTAATTTTCGCTTATGTTAAGGTGCGGTTAAAAAACACTCAGAATTTGATATTCCTAGGGTAATAAACACCACCCTCAAAATGTGTTGTAGCCACTATGGGTTGTTGACCTACAAGATATAGGTCAGACATGTCAACTTTGAAATGACATAACCAA